TAAAGGAATCTTATTTCCTCTCAATCTAAGAATTTATGGTTCTTTTTCCCAGAGAAAGAATGTTTTCTTTGAGATTAGGCCTCCCAGAATATTAATCAAAGTATATTTCATCTGTTCATCATAACATTCCCTTACCTCAGTATTTTAAATTCCCAGTATAAATGCAGGCTGTCTTTCACTAAGGGGTACAGACATTTAGATCCTTCTAGTTCCTTATAGCTTTGTGAGTGTGCAACACAGGTGAAATAGATGAGCCATTATTGTTCACCTGGTCCCATCAGTCCCCCTGAAACCTTTTTGCTCATAGAATAGCTTCAAAGGGTAGCCATGTTGGTCTGCAGTAGCACAGTTAGGTTCAAGTCCAGAATACTACTAATGACCCATTTCTTCTTCCGTACAAAAGAAAATAGCATTGCCCAGTATATCTTCTCCGTCTGCACATTTTTGTGTTGTATGGACTTGAATCTGGCTTCCTAATGCTGCAATCCTGCGTACACTTTCTTGAGGATAAACTACATTGAATATAGTAGATTTACTTCTGAATAAATATGCATAAGATTGTGCAAGATTAATCTGAACTTTGGTTAAAAATAAGTGTCTAGCCTTCATAGTTGTGAAGGGAAGCTTGGAAATGTGCTTACAGTGTCTCCTTAAGGCCTTGGACAAGACTTCTCATGTTTGGAGGGGCAGCACCTGTGACTTCAACAATTTCATGTTAACCCTCCATGATAACACATTACTTTCCTCCATCCTCACTGGTCCCTTTCTCCCCTCCCCATATCTCTCCTCCTTTTTCTTGACCTGTCATTCCAGTACTTGTCAATATATCTCAGAGCCTGCAAACACCCAAATCAGGATAACTTATGAATGTTAATTACATTTATGCAAACATTTTTTTCCTAAGTGCAGAATTTGTTGAGACAGAATTTAATTCTTCTGTGTATAAAATGCAAGTGGCCTGGGATCTAAAACACTAAATGGTTTGTGAGGGAAGAAGAGAAGAGATTGGATTTATACCCCGCCCTTCACTACCCAAAGGTGTCTCAGAGCAGCTTACAAACTCCTTTCCCTCCCCCTCCCCACAACAGACACCCTGTGAGGTAGGTGGGGCTGAGAGAGCTCTTGACAGAAACTGCTTGTGACGACCTCTTCTCTGGGGAGGTCTGGTTTTCCTTTAAACGTGTTCTTATGTTTTATTTTACTTTGGGTATCCGGCTGCCACCAGTAAATTTTATTAGGCTTTCCAAACCTTTTACTATAATATTCCTATCACAGGGTAGGTGGATCGAGAGTTTAGGCGTTCAAGGAACTATGTGTTTCCTGAGGAATAATGGATCAGGCTTCTGGGATAAACTTAACTAAAAAGGATTTATTTGAAGCACAGAGTAAGAAGTTGTTTAAACTGTAACTGGTTTGGAAATAGGTATTTGTAAGTACTTGTCAACTGTATCACACTCTTTGTAACTTTGACTCTCTTTAAGAACTGTAGATTCACTTTACATATACTCCTTTCTCTCTCACACTATCATGGCACAGCACTTTCAGTTATCTCTCAGGGATTTATGCATATAACTTTGTGACACTCTTTCATATAATGAACTAACTCGTCCTACACAGGGATGGGTCTCTCCTCTCTTACACAGAACCTAACCGTCTGCTTAACACAGAGACTTTTACTTTTATATTCCACACAGGAAAACTTCTCTCACAGAGACCTCAGGACAAAACTCATATCAACTGCTTTTACACAGCACTCTCTGCTAACTGACTAACTGTTTTTCTCATCAACTGACTATCTCCAACAGTCACTCCTGATAGACATTCAAATCATCCACACAGCATCCATTCCAAAACCCCTCCCCCTCTCTGTCACTCACCAATCACACCACTTGCCTGTTTCAACTGCACTCGACTTTCACTCAGCAATGTAAACCAAACTTTTAAAGACACACACACAAATAAACATGAAATCCTTACACTGCTCTTGTTCCAGAACAGCTCTTATCAGAACTATGGCTTACCTAAGGTCATCCAGCCAGGTGCAAGTGGAGGAGTGGGGAATCAAACCCGGTTCTCCCAGATTAGAGTCCGCGCACTTAACCACTACACCAAACTGGTATCTCTGTTTCATACTACATGTGTTCTTGTAGCGCTTAGAAAGCTGGATATATTTTCATCTCAATCATGGATGCAGTAATTCTCATTTCTGTATGTAATACTTCTCTTTTTCCATTATGTAATCTCCCTGTTGTCCAGTCTTTGCTGGCTTGGGGAGCCACATTAGTGTGTGTGTGAAGTGCTCGCAAGTCACTTCCAGCTTATGGAGATCCTATGAATGATCTATTGTTGACAGCCTTGCTTAGGTCTTGCATGCTGAGGGCCATGGCTTCCTTGATTGAGTAAATACATTTCATGTCGAGTCTTCCTCTTTTTCTGCTGCTGTGTACTTTTCCTAGCATTACTAAATTTTCCGGTGAGTCTGGTCTTCTCATAATGTGACCAAAGTATGATAGCTTCAATTTAGTCATTGTAGCTTCTAGGGAGAGTTCAGGTTTGGTTTAATTGAAAACCCACTTGTCTTTTTGACGGATCCATGTGTCTGTAAAACTCTCTTCCAACGCCACATTTCAAATGAATCAACTTTTGTCCTCTCAGCTTTCTTCACTGTTCAACTTTCATACCCATGTACAGTACTGGAGAAATACTATAGTATGAATTGCCTTGTCACCAGTGACACATCCTTACACTTAAGGATCTTTTCTAGTGCCTTCACAGCTGCCCTTCCCAGTCTCAATCTCCTTCTGATTTCTTGGGTGCACTCTCCCTTTTGGTTGATGGTGGAGTCAAGGAACAGAAAATCTTTAACAATTTCAGTATCTTCATTGTCAGCCTTAAATTTATGTAATTCCTCAGTAGTCATTACTTTTGTCTTCTTGATATGCAGCTGTAATCCTGCTTTGGCACTTCCTGCTTTAACCTTCTTCAGTAGTTGTTTCAAGTTTGCTATTTTCTGCTGATAATGTGGTGTCATCTGCATATCTCAAATTGTTATTGTTCCTTCCACCAATTTTCACTCCACCTTCTTCTAAATCTAATCCAGCTTTCTTTGTGATCTGTTCTGCTTATAGATTGAAGAGATAGATAGATAAAATACATCCTTGTCTGACAGCTTTGCCAACTGGAAACCATTCTGTTCCTCTGTATGCTGTCTTGACAGTAACCTCTTGTCCAGAGTATAGGGTGTATGTCAAAACAATCAGATGTTGTGTCACACCTCTTTCTTTTAAAACCAACCATAGCTTTTCATGATCCATATAGTCAAAACTTTTGCTGTAATCTATGAAACACAAGATGATTTTCTTCTGAAATTCCCTTGTATGCTCCAATAGATAACATAAATTTGCTATATGATCTTCCTCGATAATATCTCTGGTTTCAACCCATAGTTCTTCTGGTTTACATATGCAAATCTGTTCTTCACATTGTCTTTAAACACTTCAGGAATGTTGTTTAGATTGAATATTTTGTAGACTGATTGATACTTGGAATGTTTTGGTGTTTTTCTTCAGCTTTATTCTGATTTTCAATATTAACAATTCATGGTCTGCACCACAATCAGCTCCTGGTCTTGTTTTAGCGGAGAGAATAGAATTTCTACATTTTCTGCTTCCAGTTATGTAATCTATTTGATTTCTGTATCAGCCATCCAATGATGTCCACATATACAGTTATCTGTTCAGTTGCCTGAAACATGTTCACAATGAACAAATTATTGCCTTCACAGAATTCTGTGAGTCCCTCTCCTGCTTCATTTTGTGCTCCTTGCCCAAATTTTCTGACCATATTTGATTCTACTTTTCCCCACTTTTATGATCCGGTCACCTATTATTATTATCAGCACATCTTGTTTAGGTGTGTGGCCAATTTCTTCCTGGACCCTTGCATAAAAGCTTTCACTTTCTTCCTCTTCAGCATCTGTAGTTGGGGTGTGTACTTGAATGATGACTTGTTGGTAGGCTTTCCATGAAGTCTGATATTATTCTACCAGACTTTGCATTATAACCCCTGATTTCTTGTGCTATATCTTACCTTACTATTAGGGCGACTCTGTTTCTTCTGTGTTTGTCATTTCTAAAGTTAAACACTTCGTAATTTTCTGACTGAAAATCTCCTAATCCAGTCCATTTTATTTCTCTCATTCCCCAGGGTTGTAGTGTTTAAACATTCCGTTTCTTGTTTTACAATTTCAAGGTTACTTTGATTCATAGTTTACACATTCCATGTTCTTATTATATGTGTCCAACAGCTTTTGATTTTTCTTTTACACCCATTCACATCAACAATGGAACAGTCTTTCGGTTTTAATCCAGTTGCATCACTAAGAATACTTGTCCTCTGTTCTTCCCCAGCAGCTAGTTGAAAGCCATCCTACCTGGGGGTTGTGTCTTCCAGCATTGTACCTTTTTTTGTTTTGGATTGTCTCATCATAGGGGTTTCAGGGTATGAGATAATCAGTAGTGGTTTACCATTGTCTTCTTCTGCACAGTACTAACCATGGTTAGCTGATGTGTCACTGCTGTTGTCTCCTCCACCAGTGTTACCTTTGGAAGGTACTAGTGGCACTTTTACACCTTTTTAAGTTGAACTCTAGATGCATAGCCCCTGTGTAAACATGATGTCTAGCTATGGGACCAGCGAAACACTAAGAACCTGCCTTCTTCTTCTCACGTAATGTGCTCTGCATAGGGTTCTTACATAAACATGGTGGGGTGTTGCACAGGGAAGTTGGGATAAATACACAGGTAAAAGCTTGGGGAAATAAAGAAAAGTGATTGGGATTAGGGCTGGGCTGCAGGGAGTTCACCTTAAATTAAGCTGAAATGGTACAGGTTGCAGTTGAGGTGCTCAAGAACAACCTGTGCTCACATCTGGTAGGGTAGAGATCCTTGTCCAGACCTTATTCGTGGATTGATCATAGTTTGATTTTTGCTTGTCTATAGGTGCTGGAAGCTTGTATGAAGAATTGCGGGCGCAGATTTCATAATGAAGTAGGGAAGTTTCGTTTTTTAAACGAATTAATTAAAGTGGTGTCTCCGAAGGTGAGTATGACATTTGACCTATGTTTATGCTCAAGTCCTTAAAATACATTGTTCAGGAACATATTTCTGAGATAGGGCTGGCTAGAAATACATAAATAACAAGACTGAAAAGCCATTTGGGATAACTGAGGTGCAGATAGTAAAGGTTCTCATAGTAAATGGATTAGTTAGTGAGCTAGAATATGGGTAGGTGAAATGTCTGCATTTTTTCATGTCTAGGTATTGTCAAGAATCAGGAGTTAGGTTTCCTATTACTGGTGTAATATTTTGAAATACTGTTTGTATCCCAAAATGTGATCATCAAATCTTGATATTGGTTAGTTTTAGCAGTATGCATTCTGGTTTACTGGAACCAAAAATATACCCGAAAAACACCTTATCAGTATTTTTCAGGTACATTTCGGCTTCCCAAATGTATCTGGGATTTTTCAGGAGAACCAGAGAAAAATCCCTGGAAAAATCCTGAATATATTCAGGAATTACTGGCAAAACTGGGCTGCCCAGCAGAGCCTGTGGGGAGTGTTCTTCTCACGGGATCAACTCCTGGGTGGGTTCTTTTGGCCAGTCCAGGTTAAAGGGACCGCTCAAAAAAGCCCCAGCTGAACTGCTTCTCAGCTGTTTTAGTGGCTTTGCCACTGCCCCCCCCCCCCCCACCCCCCCCCCGGTGTTTTTAGGCTTGCTTCTATTGGACCTGGAAAAAAATTGAGATTTCAAAAAAAAAAAAATCCCAGATCCAAATACTTTACTAGTATTGGAATCTGGGTTTTGGGGGGGAATCCTGAAATTTTTTTCAAGTCCAATAGTCCCAAACCAAAAAATACAGAGAAAAAAAAATTGCACACCCCCTAGTCAGTTTGTTTCACCGTACTCATTTATACATGCTGTTTGGATAATGTGGAATAAAAGCATATAATGAAACTTTTGTACCTCTTTGAATAAAGAGCATTTGAAAACTATGATTATTGTCTCCATCTTTATACGGCCCATCAGGTGAATATCCAGTGTCTGGTTTACAGCCTAGCGGCTCCAGTTTCTGAGACGATTATACTGAACTGCAGTGCTATCTGTCCTTAGTTTATAGCTTTGTTTTTAACTGTTTTAACTATTTATTGTGAAATGTTTTGACTCTTATTGTGGATTCGCTGTTGTGATCTGCTCTGAGCCCACTTGCGGGGAGGGCAGAATACAAGCCAAAATAAATAAATAAATAACCTAGATGAGACAAGTAGTTTCACTCTGTTCTGTCAGTAATAAAACAGTACCTGCATTAAATAATGTTCCTGATCTAGCCGTTAAAATTAGAAATGTCTTTGCTACATTGTTATGGTTTAAGGTGTTTTTGCTATTTTGAGTATTTTTTAATTTATCATTTCCCTTCCTAAGTCTGTTCCAGATAGATATAATAGTTTTTTAAAGTATATTTTTAAATCTCAAAGTTCTTACTTGCTCAGAAGAGATTGTTGGAAAATGGTTTTGGTCTAGTGATTAGCACTTTTAACATCCTGAGGACTATTAAGAGGCTGCTTCAAAGCAGCAAAGAAAATGCTTACAGCAAGGGTATCAAATATATGGCCCGCGGGCCGGTATCGGCCAATCCAGGGCTCTCATCCGGCCTGTGAACAACTGGTTGTTACCTTTATTGCCATATGATAGAGACTGTGCATTATGTCCCTGTATACTGTCCCAGTACTAATGTGTAACAGGCGGTGAAAGTGGGAGGGCAGGCATGAAGATACTGTAAGGAAATACTGTAGGAGTGTTAATGTTTTAAGAATGTTTGTATTTTGAGTAAAAAATAATATTGTTAATTGGGTTTGCCTGCATCCTTTATACAGTTTATATCTCTGGTACCTGGCACTACATTTTATGGCATACATGGCCCAGCCCGACAAAGTGACATTTATGTCAGATCTGGCCCCTGTAACAAATGAGTCCGATACCGCTGGTTTACAGCATGGTTTCCCTCATAGTTCATCCTTGCAATGGTTCACAGTAGACTCTTTTATCTGAAGCAAGAGAAATCCATATCTTTTCCTTTCTTTCTTTCTTTTATTTGGACAGTACCTAGGTGACAGAGTGTCAGAGAAGGTCAAAACCAAAATAATTGAGCTGCTTTACAGCTGGACGGTAGCCCTGCCAGAGGAGTCAAAAATCAAAGACGCTTACTACATGTTGAAGAGACAAGGTCAAGAGCAACTTCCTCCTCGCCTTTTGTTCTTTTTCCTTGTTGTTCAATGGAATTTTGTAATATAACGGCTTAGGTAGTTAGTTAGTAACTTCAATTTACCTAAGACAGACTTGCTCACTGAATGAGACTTGATAGACAGATACACACACCCTTGCAGCTTTACTTTGGAGTGTTAAGTATTGTCACAGTATAAATCCGGCTGCACTGTTGTCATCCCACTAGCTGTTCAAGCCCCACTCTAGATGTTACATTAATCTTTGCTGCTCCGGCGATGCTTGTAATGTTAAAATCAGGTCTGACAATACCAGAAAACACCAGTGAGTAATAGAATGCTGGCAAATTCACGGACTCAAGGACAAAACGGTCTTAAAGTTCAAGTTCTTGGGGGCAAGCATATCTAAAGGCAAGCAACTCCTATAGTGAGTTTTGTCTGTTGAAGATCCCCACCATTCTGGATCAAGATTCAGAGCAATGTATGTTTCTTGATTGCTAATGAAAGGTAGCACACTGTAGTCTTTGCCAAGCTCCCGCTAGAGCACCATCAGCCAGTAGTTAGATGCCTTGACATACTGTAGCTGTCTATTTTTTTGCACAGGCAACTTGGATGGAGCAAAAAAAAGTGTTGTGCATGTAAAAGAGTGACATCATTTTCTCCTTTTTCATTCAGGCATTGTTCCATCAGACCCTGTAATTCCTGTGGAGAGAACCCTCATCCCCTCTCCTCCACCTCGCCCCAAAAATCCTGTGTTTGATGATGAAGAGAAATCCAAGGTAAAGTGGAAGTGAGACCTCTCATAAGCAGCCACCAAATAATCTTGTGATGCTTGCCACTTTCCTGCCTCCCTTTAGTTGCTCAAGCTCGTAGTCTACTACAGTGAAGAAAAACAGTTCCAAGTATTCCTTCGTTTCCTTTGGTGTTGTAGCATAACAATTGTATAAGTTTTACTAAAGACTTTTGCAGTGTCAAGGAACAGTGGTTCTCCTTTCCGTTTCTTCTTTGCTCCCTCTAAACATTCTGAAGCAGAAAGCATTGTCGTCAGAGAAGGTTGAGAGCAGCACCTTTGAAATTCAGAGCTGCTTCCAGATAAAAGCCTCACAACTCAGTTTAGCAAAGTATTAATCTTCTTGAACTTCTTTACTTTTCACTGAAATGGCACCAAAGTGAGGAAAGGGTAGGAGTATGCAATCCACTTGCCAGTATGGTGTAATAGTTAAAATCTCAGACTTCAGATGGGGAGACCCAGGTTTATTCCTCCATGAAACTCACTGTGTGAATCACTCTCAGTCTAGAATACCTCACAGAGGCTGCGAGGATAAACCTGAGAAGGGCAAAATTGTATAGGCCATCTTGGTCATTGTTTTGTGTGTGTGTGACAGAGAAAACATAGTACAAGAATAATACTTATTACTTGATCTTACTTGACTTTTCCAAGGTGTTTGACATCTAATATTCCTGATTCCTTTTCTGTCTTTTAACAGTGGTCTGATTGTGTGGTAGGAGTCAAATGGACAAGCTGCAAATAGCCATTTAGAGAGCAGGTTGTGGGGAAAATCATACACACTGGGTGCGGATACAAAGTCCATCTTCTCCCTACTCTGATCTCGCCCTTTTGCTAAGTGAAACCCAGCCCCAGTTGTAGATGTCATGGATACGTTTTACCATGTGTGGGGAAAACCAACAGAGACCCAAGCACTGGTCCCCAATGTTAACTGAAGGGTAGTTGGTGATATCCTGCTTTCAGCTGCCCCATCCATAGCACTGATGCCATTGCCCGAAGGGCATGAAATACATTCCAATGGAATCCGTGGCTCTGGTCATCAGAAGCAAGAACCATGGATTCCATTAGAATGCATAATCAGGCTGCCAGGAATCTAGACTTTGCTGCTTCCAAGACAAATGTAAATTTCATTTATTTACTTAAGGAATGTCTGCCTTGCCTTTCTGCAGAGTAAGGCTTTCAGGGTGTCCCACACACATTTGTAAAACCCCAATTAAAAATAAACAAGAGCAGATAAAAACCAAGCTCACAGAAATAACTGTTGCACTAGGTAAACTTCCAGAGGCAAATGCAGACATAGAGGTTTACCTCAGTTTGCTAGATTGCAAGATTTGTCCAGCACCACAGTACTAAGTCCTTAAGTAAAGCTCTTGAAAACCAGGGGAAATGGAAATAATATTTTCTGAAGGTTTCTCCCCCCCCCACTTTTTTTTTTTTACAGCTTTTAGCAAAACTGTTAAAAAGCAAGAATCCAGATGACTTACAAGAGGCAAACAAGCTTATTAAGTCTATGGTGAAAGAGGTGAGATTGAGCACTGGCACAAGCGGGGGTGGGTGATTGCTTGGGGCTTTAAAAACATCTGAAACCTTTTAGAATCTCTTTGGGCTGTATGTTGTTGGAAGTTGTGAATTCCTCTGCTCTCCTTAAACAATGGTCTGACGTTTGTCATTAGCAAAACCAAATTCTTCTCTGAGTCTGAAGCTGTAATGAGAGCCTGGATAGTGAGCTAAAGCAAGCTTGCCAGTAACTTGTCGTTCACCTTGGGAGAAAGCCTAAGTAGGTTTAGTCAGAAGTAAACTCCATTTTAGTCCATGGCACTTACTCCCTGGGAAGTGTTTGTAGCATTGCAGCCTCTACCTACCAATTCTATATTTTGCTCTTGGCCTTTGGCTTCAATTTTGCCTGTCATCCTGGCCTTCCCTGCTCATTCTTCCATGGTCATCCTGACCCTAAGCAGAGGCAAATGTGCTTTTAAATCCATGGAAATTGATGGGTTTAGGCACACATCAATTCTGCTTGGGACAGAGCTGTCAGTTGTGAGCATGGAGGTTCTTTCTTCCCTTTAGTTTCAGCTACTTGCTTTGGATGCTGGCCTGTAGTTCCCTCGAGTTATACACAAGAGTTGTGCGGATGCAAGAATTTCTTTAGTGTAAATAGAAGTTCTTTAGTGTAAAGGAACTCCATGCTATATAGGAAAGAGTAGAGTTTGCATTCTATCGATCTCTCTGTGGGCTTTTCCACATGGTTCCAGACCCATACTGCTTCACTTTATCCACTGATTTTCACGTGCATATTTGTGCCTTTAGTTTTCAGTAGTAACAACAGGTTTAGCAGGTTTTCTGAATTCCCAGCTTTCATTATAAACCAAAAAGTAATTTTCTAGCACCTTCTGTTGGGGGAATTAAGAGTCCAAGAGTCAGCAGAAGAATCATGCCTAAACTGATTTCAGTGCTTGTGAACTGACTGCCAAACAAATCAGGAGTAAATCGAGCATATGCTAGGAAGGAGAGAGACTGTAGAGAGCACGTTTTGTCTTCATGGTGGTTAGACAAAGGAGGAAGAAGAAAAGAGGGTCAGCCAGAAGGAAGGAAGTTCTCTTGAGAGTAGCAATCTAGGTAAACAAAGGGACATCATCAGAGCAGACAACAGGAAGGGTACACAGAGTCCTGACCTATCTGTCTTTCTAGCTCTGTTGCCCCCTGGTGTTGACTGGTCCTAAGAGACATTGCACGCACACTTCTCCTAACTTCCTAGGTTCCCAAGTTCCTCCTGTTCTGTCACACATTTGAGTACAGTCCAAAGCTGCTCTTTCCCATTCAGTGCATCAAGCTGTATCCCGGTTTCAAACAGAATTGTTTCAAGGCTGATCTATGCAGATCAAGTAAGACCAGGGCTCTAGTCGGGGGGGAGCTCTCAGGTACGGAGCTCCGGAAGAGAACCTCTAGGGGGCGGGGCGGTCACGTGGTGAAGCCCTGCCCCCTTCTTTACCCCGCCCTCTGCTTCGATCCTCATTCCGTTTGGGAATGAGGATGAAGCAGGAGGGTAAGTAGCCGGGCCTTCTGACACACTTCCGGTGATGTCAGGGGATGTGGCCTTCTGTCACTTCCGGTGATGTCAGGGGGAGTGGCATATGCAAATAAGTTATGCTAATGAGTTATGCTAATGAGCTCCGGCAGCTCTTTTTCTACAACAAGACCCCTGAGTAAGACTGTAATCTGGCACATATTGGAATCAGTGTGTCTTTGGAAAACTCTAGATACCTTGTTTCCCCAGCTGGTTATCTCTCCCAGTTGGAGATTTTCAGCCACAGGAAAGCATTTTCCCTTGCTAAATGTCAAGCACTCCTTTCTGCAGTTTTTGATGGGCGATACAAAAGGTTTCCAAAGGTAGACAGGTTATGGCCTTGGGGTTCAGGGGAGATTGAAACTACAGAACACATTCTACTTCATTGCCCCTTGTATCAAGAGGTTCGTTCTAAGTTTATCCTTCTCTTACTTAGTAGTCATCCCGGTTGATCAGATTCGATGTAGGCACGAATGCTACTCATAGATGAAAAACCACTTGTTTCAGCATATACTGCGAAGTTTTGTGTGGCAGCTTGTAAAATTCATCAGATACTTATGGCTTAAGTTTTTACATATACATATTACAGAATTTTAATTTATCTGTCATTTTATCTAACTACTTCCCTTTGAATTATAAGATAATTTATGTGTGGGAGTTAATTTTTGTTTTACCCGCTGTGTTGGTCAGGAATTTTGCTGAGACTTGTGGTGGTCTATGGCTGTATTAATAAAGACTTTGACAGTGTGACTTGCATAGGATTGAGTCTGCCTATTCAGATCTGAGTACTGTCTTCCAAAAATCAAAATTTTACTTTTCTTATAGAAGAATATAAAATGCTTATAGCCAGAATTCTAGAACTTCAGGTCGCTGGATACTCTGGCTTCTTGGGTTCTTTCCCTCCCAAAAAAAACCAATTTATTAGGATATAATAAAAAAGAATGTTCAAACATATATCAAAACTTATACAATTATATATCCTTCCCTCCTCCCCCCCCCCTTCTCGGCTTCCCACAGTGCTCCAACCTCCTGCCCAATTCTTACATTTTCTTCATACCTCCTTATCTCCTTATTCACATCCACAGGTAACTTAATCTTCAACTGTTAGTCTTATACATTTATCTATTTTCTACTGTACTGCGGTGGCTCTAGTGGTTAAGACGCTGAACTGCAGGCTGTGGAAGGTCAGTAGTTCAGCAGTTCGAGACCCGGGTGCCGCAAGACGGAGTGAGCTCCCGTCTCTAGTTCCAGCTCCTGCCAACCTAGCAGTTCGAAAGCAAGAAATTGCAAGTAGATAAATAGGTACCACTTTGGTGGGAAGGTAACAGCGTTCCATGCGCCTTGGTGTTTAGTCATGCCGGCCACATGACCACGGAAACGTCTTCGGACAGCGCTGGCTCTTCGGCTTTGAAACGGAGATGAGCACCGCAACCCTAGAGTTGGATTCGACTGGTTTTCGAGCAAGGGAACCTTTACCTTTACCTTTACTGTCCTTTAATTTTCAATAATTCTCAAAGCAAAGTAAATTGTCCTTTACATCCCAGTATCTCTTGGCTTCTTGGGTTCTTCAAGCCAGCCTGCCCTGGTTGATGATGCAAGAAAAGACTAAGATTTATTTCTTTTGCTTTAAAACATAAAGGATGAGGCACGAATACAGAAAGTAACAAAGCGCATGCACATCTTGGAGGAAGTGAACAACAACGTGAAACTGTTAAATGAGATGTTGGTTCACTATAACAAAGAGGACTCTTCAGAGGCTGACAAGGAGCTCATGAAGGTGGGTAAGAAATTTTTTAATGTAAAATATTTAGTGCTTTTTATATTGCCTGCTTGTCCATGGCATAGTTATTTAACTGATCTCTTCTAAAGAAGAGGAATTTAACATCCAGGTTTCGATGCAAAATGAGGGCACAACTAGAAGTGATGCAAGATATCTCTGACTGAGGTCTCCTGTTATGTATACAGTCACCTGGCTAGGGAATGGGGGAAGAGATGCCCTGCTCTGCCTTCCAGAACTAATAGCAACTAGAGAGAGGAGTGTTCTGTCTGGGAAATGGGGCAGGTTATTAAAAAAAAAAAGTAAGTTCCAATGACCCCAATCTACCCCCCCCCAAAAAAAAGTCCTGATGTAAACCCCTCTCTTCCTACAGTGGCTGCTTTCAAATAAAGTTAAAGTTTTCTGGAGATCCAATCTTTACCTCTAGCATCGTATCTAGTTGCACCCTCGGCTCTGGTCTCTTTGAGTACACATGAGATGGTAGTCATATGAATTAAAAAATGGATCTTTATGAATCGGTTCATAGGAATGAAGAACAGAGATGCACCTGGCAATAGGTTTGGTTTATTGGTGTTAGCCAAATTGCTCTATTATTTAATAAAGATGGGGAATTATAATTATTAATATGCAGTTGGCTTAACTATAGGATCAGACCTGTGTATACAAGAGTTAGAATTCCCAAGAACCCAGGAATTGACACAGAAACTGGGTTGCTAAAATAATGATTTCTTTATTAAATATTTTCAAGCATACAAACAATATTCAAACATTCACACACACAATACAGAACTAAGGAAGCAGAGGTGATTGATAGCTTATAGAGAGTGACCTGTCCAGACCTGTCCAGACGTGCAGAGGTCCATGAAGAAAGGATTGTGGCCTAAACTCAGACAGTTTAGGGGTGGACTGCCAGTTGGCATCACGGCAGAAGCACACGGTCTAAAGGCCATGTGTTCGCTGGGATATAGCCATTGGAAGACAATGCAAACCAATGGGCGGCCCTGGGGGCTGGTCTCAGGTGAGAACAATAGATTACCTGGGCCAATGATGAGTCCCAGGGGTGTGTGGCATCAGGATGGGCAAGGCCTGGATGTAACCAATGAAATTCCAGAGAGGCAAGGTCAGGCTATGCTGAGATTTGACAGTATCCTGATTGGATTAGCTAGGTGCTGAGTGGCTACTTGGATTATCTGACCACTAATGGCCCTGGCCAAGGCAGTTGAAAAGGTTCCCAAGTATAGACAAAAGGTGGGAGATGAGTCCCTGTTTAGCATCAGGAAGGATTGCTACACATTTGAATGATTGATTGGTTTATCCCGGTATCCTGAAGGACAGAGCAGGAAAGACAAAGAATTTACACATAGACACAGGACGACACAAAAGGGCTGGGTGAGGTACTGGAGAGAAGAGGACTATTTGCCAGGTGGCCTCTGAATAGACTTTAGAAATGTAGATAACTTCACCTGGTGGAACTCATTGTCATTCCATGAGCATATCTCTGCTGGGTGGAGGGGGAAGACTGGAAGTTTGCCCTGAGGTTGCCGTTATTGTCACCTGAATATGAAATCCCTTTTTGCAGAGTACTTGTAGCCTGACTCTGTGGTTCAAGCTGAGAGTGCTTGACTTTTGGGGACTTTGGTTCAAGTTAGAAAGTGGGGTGCCCCTGCTTTGGGGCTACCCAAGAGTAAAGGCAGTGCCTCTGGCAACATTGGCTCCTATCTCTCACCATTATTTCCAGGAGCTGTTTGACAGATGTGAAACGAAGAGGCGGACATTATTCAAGCTGGCCAGCGAGACGGAGGATAATGACAGCAGTTTGGGTAAAACAGAAACCTTGCAGGCATGGAGGGTTGGTTCTCCTGGTTGTAATTTAGGTTGTAAATAAACTGTATTTGCATACTTCTATTCTACTTCCAGATGTGCTCTCAATCCATTTAATTCACAGGGTGAAATGTTGTAAAATGGCACATGGGCCTCTGTCCTCTTTTAGCCAAATGTTTTCCAAAGTATTAACCACGTTTCAGGCTTCAAGACTCAAAGGAGAGAGTTGGTAAAGACTATGTCCCTACTAGCCACTTGCTGCTTACCCCTCTCTGTATTTTAGTGTTCATTCAAGCCATCTCTGAATTGGCTTCTACCAGGCAGGGCAGAATGAACACGTTATGACCTTAATATAAATTGTCAGTCGCTAAGATACTGGAGGTAAAAGACCTGACTGGGACCATAGGGTAAGCAGTAATACTGTGTGTATGCAAACCCCCCCAGTGATTTTATGCAATTGGTGATTAACATCTAGTCAAATGGGGTGGGGGGGGGCCTTTATTGAATAGTCAGTGATGTTTCTTTGAATACCACCAAATCTTTGTGTCTCATTTCTGCATACTCTGCTGACCTGTGCAAGCAGAAATGAATGGTATGAAAGCTGGAAGAATATATAACTGAGAGACATACAGGGGCTTAGTACTTCTTTTTTGTCTTAGGAATAAATTGAATGAGTTGATTATATGGCTAGTTACAAAACATTGCTGAGGGTGCAATGATTTATATCTGTCATGCAGTCTCTGTCTCTGTCTCTCTCTCTTTTATAGGAGATATACTGCAGGCCAGTGACAATTTATCACGGGTGATAAATTCCTACAAAAGAATTATTGAGGGCCAAGTCATCAATGGTGAAGTAGATTCTTCTGTGTTGCTTACAACAGATAGTGAGTCACATTCCTCAGGGACTGAGTTCCTTTTTGTTAAAAGGCCTGTTTCCAGACTGTTATATAATTGCAATGCATGGTTTACATCTCTTTGTACTAAAATGACTTCACAAGATTAAGCATTTCCAAAAGCACCAATTCTCCCTGGTTTGCTTCCCTGCCCCTTTTTGGCAGCCCCAGAATTGCTTCTAGATCACCCTACCTTTCTAGGATTAAACATCCAGAGCACTTATTAATTAACTGTTTATAATGTTATCTGTACTGTGATGATTTTAAATGATTTTACTTATGTTTTATATTGGCGTATGCCCTTGTAAGCCGCCCTGAGCCCGCGTAGCGGGGAGGGCGGGGTATAAATTGAATAAAATAAATAAATAAATAAACTGTGGGCAAGGAATGCTGGTCTCTGCTGGTACGATATGCTGGTTGAGAAAGGGAAGGTGACACAGAGCTGATCTTGTGTGAGGCAGGGTAAGGCACATTGGGGGTATGTGTGCCAAACATCTGTACCTTGTATAGTTTCTTCCTCACTAATACTTCCCTGGTAGCTGTGGGAAAGTTTTCAAGGTAACACTGGCATTTACAGTGATCAGTTTCTATTGGATGATACCATCTTGGACAAAGCAGTGTCATTATACAGAAGTGGCCACTCTGGCATACTGGTACCATCTCGGAGGCTCTTCACTGGTTACTAGGGCCTCCAGGATGGTGCTCGGATTTTCTTGGGTAGTGCTACCTGAACAAGCTTGACAACATTTATCTAGCCCTTCCCTCTGTTGTATAATGGCCCATTTTCAATGGGCTGTTGGTAAGTGTGATGAACAGTTGAGTTCATGTTTTTCTGTAGGGCTGGTTTACAAACTGCTATAATTACAAAGTATGTTTTGCACCATGCATGCATGTGGCAGAGCAGTACAACCAATCCCAGCTCCCTAGGACATGTACTGGTATAATTCATTCAGCCAGAAACTTATTTTCCCTTAGAGTTGTATGGGTATGCATAAAATGTTCCCATGTATCCATAAATATGTAACATCTGAAGCTGCCCTAATCTTAAAGATAAATGCAGGTGAAACCAGTAATACTTCACAATACTTTACTTGGTCCTCCATCCTGCCTCATCATCTTTACTAAGTTCTGGGTGCCTGCTCCAGTCACAGGGCTTTTAATGGACAAAAAAATGGATGGGGACACTGTGAGAGAGTATACTCTCTGGGTCAGGCTTAGCAAAGGTGGAGGATAACATACTGTCATCGGTCAGCAGGGGTTAAGATACTTTTCTTTAACGTCTTGGGGAGAAAGGTGCAACAAACAGACAAGGCTGGAAATGTGTCTGTTTCTGCATAGCCTTCCAACAGAAGCTTTTGCTGAACTATATGAGATAAAAGCTTCCAAAGTGTGTATAGGGACTGAATGGTTACATCAGATGTAGTTATGCTTTTCAGAACATACAGAATATTGAAAAGGATGAATGGGGTTCTGGCCCATCACAAAATCTTCCTTTTAAGTTCTGGTGAATTAAAACCAAAATAACTCTTCATCACCTGGAGTAGACCTGAAGACAAGAGTGAATGCCACCAACTGGGATACTGTGTGTCTGAGTATGCACATCTTCGTGAATCCATGGGATCAGTGTTCCCTCTAAGCTGAGTTGGAGTGAGCTAGCTCACAGTTTTTTAGCCTCCAGCTCACACATTTTTGCCTTAGCTCAGGAAGGATGACTCCAAAGCAAACTAATTTATGCAGCAGCCACATCGCTTGCTCACAATTTTAATGCCAGTAGCTCACAAAGTAGAATTTTTGCTCATAGGACTCCACAGCTTAGAGGGAGCATTGGGAGGGACGCTTGTATTGTTGTTTGGGGACTCGGTTTATTTATTTAGAGGTCTTGGCAAAATCTGAGTATCTCCTGCCATAGTGCATTGGTTTCCTAAAAGTGGTATTGGGTGTCATTGTACGCTGCACCAAAGGTACCTATCAAGAAATTTGGATAAAAGTAAATTCAGTTTCTCGCAGGAGGAGGAAACTGTTATACATACTTGCTATTGTACCTGTCCCCTTCTGATCACTGCAGGAAGTGATTCTGCCAGTAACATCAACACGCTCATTGACCTGGCAGAACTGGACATCTCTAGTACACCGCCGCCACCCCCACCAATGCCTCCAATGACACTGGCACCAGCACCGACACTAACTCCAGCACCAGCCTCATCAGAAATCCCCATCCTTCCACCTCCTCCTCAGATGGCCGGTCACTCTCGGAGTCGTTCATCCAGCCAGGCTGAAGCCACTGCTCCTCAACTGGTCAGCACAGGCAATTCCTTCTCTTTACTGGATGAGGAACTTCTCTGCTTAGGTAAGACAGATGTGCTTGCTGTGGAAGACTGCCAAGTAGCTTTGCCTGTTCTGGATGTACTACCAAATACAAGGGAATTGAAGTCTATGGGGAGCTGTGTGCCTTCTTGCAAGACATGATTGCTATGTCTGCGAGTGTATCTGATTAGCTGGTAACCTTGTTTTTTTATTTATCTTTTGCTTTAGTATGTGGTAATGTTTGCTTGTTTCAACTTGCTGGGTCTAACAACAACAAATCCTTAATATGAGAGCAGTAACTCTAGAATGCAGCAATTTGCTTACTCTCTTTATATTGTATAATGACTGCAAAGAGAATGGTATGAACTAGTCTGTGTAGGAATGTTGGGTACAGACTATCTCTGTGGATTTACCAGGTGTGCAGGGAGGCAGCTGACATTCCAAGCTAATTATTTTGCTGACCATTTCCTGACTCCTCCATTCTAAGGGAACCTATCAATCTGAGTGTAGCAATGATCTAATTGCCTGCATGCCTGATTAGTTTTGCACTTGCTGTGGCCAGAAGTAAGTACTGCCTTCTCCTGTATTTGCTCAGCCTCTAGAGCAGGGGTGGCCAAACTTGCTTAGTGTAAGGGCCACATAGAATAAACATCAGATGTTTGAGAGCCACGAGACATGAACAAATATTACATGGTTTTATTGGAAAATATGCAAATTTGCATTTCATTAACATTAAATGAGACTGCCAAAAATAAAAACAAAAGGGGTAAAAACAGATATTGCTAATGATATTTATTTGTCTAAGTAAATACCTGCTCAAAACATGGACAAAACATGTAAACCAATTAAATTAGAGATACTTACTGGGTATTTACTGCTAGTAGAAATCTTGTGAGTCTCCATCTTGGCTGTGAGTCATTGAAAATCTGGCCGATACGTTGTCAGGGCTGTATGAATTAGTTCCATAGGATGTTGATTTGTAAGGACTGCACAATGCTTCGACTTCACAAACTTCCTCACATAATACAGTGATTCACAGCAGTATGTTGTGCTGAAAATTGAGATGAGTCGCACACTGGTTTTCTTCAGGATATTTTATTTCTGGAACTTGCCTCCAGAACTCAGTTGTAGACTGGGATTTATGGATCATCTTCAGACCCAGGTCTTCCTGTGATTCCAGTAGTTCCACTTCCACAGCAGATGATTCTGTAACCAGGGGTTTGGGAATGGGACAACCATCTTTGATTACATCAACCATTAATGGATTTACAAGAAAGACAAAGCAAGGTTTCAGATTCTTCAAGTCCTTAAACCCATCTAGGAAATTATCAAGTAGTCCTTGTAATTTATCTTTGTATTCTTCCTGTTTGTGGTCTTTTATTTCAATATTAAGGACTATATTGACTCTCCTTTTGAGATTGGCAAAGAAAATGAAAGTTCTGGACAATATGTCTTTTTGAAAAACTCTTAATTTATTCTGAAAGCTGAACATTGTCTGAGTAAAATCAGAAACAATTTTATCCTTCCCCCAGAGTGCCAAGTTAAGAATCTGTAGGTGGTTCATTATATCAGTAAGGAACATTAGATCTTGCATTCATTCATCATTTTCCAGTTGAGGATAGAATCTTTTCCTCAAGAAAAGTAAGAATAGGCTCCAACAGATCCACAGACCTACTTAAGACGTTGCTAGCTGACAGCCACCTCACATCGCAGTAGAAAGAGACATCGAGTTCTTCAGTAAACATTTTGAACTGTTGGTGGGTCTTTCCATTTAAGCATACAAAATTGACAATTTCTAGAACAGATTTCATAACATCTTCATACCTGAAGGCTAGGATCACTTCTCATAAGTGCAATTAGTCCTGCATTTCCCCCCACCATTGCAGGTGTTCCATCTGTTGCAACATCAATGAGTTTATTCAGTGGAATTTCAACACTTGTTGAGGCTCTGTCCAAGCACATTTTTAAAGTCAACACCGCGAGTTGTTTCTTTCAGTGCCACTAAGTCCAACATCTCTTCTTTCACAGTTACATCAGAAGAAACATAACGAGCAAATACCACCAGCTGTGGGTTGTCTTGTACGTCTGTAGATTCGTCAAGAGCAAAGCTGAATGCAAGGGAATCCTTTAAATCATTTTGCATTTTGCCTGCAACATCAGCATTGATCTGGGAGATAGGCCTTTCTGTAGCATGACATGAAGCTGCTGTTTGTGGTATTAGTCACTGAGGTTTTGTGTTATTTGGACGTAAAACTGCAACAACTTCAGCAATATTCTTCCTAATAAGTTTGCCATCAGATTATGGGCATTTAGCATGAGCAGTATTCCATAATATAACAAAACTAGCTTTAGTCATTGTACTGGCTTCCTTACTGAACTATACCTGCTGCCTATTTAGTGATGGTTTTACCACAGTTAACGTGTTTTTCCGTAATTCCGATTTAGGTGGATAATTAGATGAAAATTTTTGTGATTTGTTTCGGAGTGGTGTTTCAAGTCACTTGGCTTTGTAATGACTGACACATTGTGTTCCTTTAACAGTGAATGCAAAATCTTTCTCCCACTCTGGCTTAAGATTTCTGTTTTCATCTTCATACTTTTGTTTTTTACAATTTGATGACGCCATCTTCCTTCACAAAATGTCTACAGATACTTAAAGAGGGGGTTTCTTCACCCTTCTCCTCTCCCTTGGAGTAGTTCTGCCTTCAGCTTCAGCAGTCAGCTCCTTCTCTCCTCCTCAGCCTCCATTACTCCCCTTCCTGAGGCTCGTTGGGTAGGCATTTGCGCCGTTTTCCAGCTGGCCTCGCTATGGCCCTCCTGAGATGCCGACCACGCACCCATCCAATTCCCAGCTGTTTTTGAGGGCCACAGTTTAATTGTGATGCAAAAAGGAGCTCAGCCAACGTATTTCCGCAAGCCGCGCGATATGCATGAAAGAGCCGCATGTGGCTCATGAGCCGCGGTTTGGCCACCGCTACTCTAGAGTGTGTGGGTGTGAAGCGGAGATGGAGCCCTGGATTTCCCCCCCCCCTCAAAGATGCAACAAAGAGACCCAAAGTATGACCTCAACCTAAAATGTTAAACCTGACTTGAAAAATTTAACTGTTGTACAAAACCCAGGACTGGCACGTACCCATTATCATAATGTTGCTTATCATCTGGGTTTAGGAAGAAAAAAGTAAATTACTATTGAGAACAATAATAAAAATGTATCACTTAACATCAGTTTGACGAATGGGCAATCCCAAGAAGAGCTGTACTCTTCAAGTCTATTGAAGTCAATGGGCTTAGAAGGGAATATAGGCTGGGTAGGGTTGTACTGTATATGTGGCTTTACTGATTTCAAACATTCATTGCCTGCCCTTCAGCCTCACCAGTGCCATAGTTAACAGGCTTAGAGAGAATGACTTGCTTAGGGTTCTTCCAGCTGAGTGTGGATTTGTATTCAGATCTCCCTGCTCTCTCCATCAGACATTCTAGCCAGTACACCAGGTGGACTGTTACGGGAACTTCTCCAGCTCAGTGGTGTGTTTTCACCTTCCAAAATGTTTTTGCATGTGTGTTTTTATCCCCATGCCTTAATATTGCCTCTTGCATTCAGGCCTGAATGACCCTGCTCCCACCGCAGCAAAGGAATCAGCTGAGAGCAATCAGTGGAACATGTTCCAGGTATTTAGCTTTATGCTGTTGGGAATAAACTGTCACTCAGAATGATACAATTAGGGAAGGTCTTTGGGTTTAGGAACTGGTGGCCTGTGTGAGTCTTGCACAGGACTGAGGTTGCTTTGGCCTCTCTGCTCCCATGAGGGATGCAAGCAGTAAGGACCAGTTGGCTGTTCCTACCCAGTCAAGATTAACCTTATTCCCATAACCCCTTCTCTTAAGAGCTGAGATGGCAAGGCCAGCATGGAGCAGGCTAGTATCTTTTGTGAAGTGTGATTTTGCACTTCTGCCTCCCAGTTCCCACATCCTTGTAGAATATCCCCAACCTCATAGAATGCCATCATAGATCACTGTAGTGGAAGGGAAATATTTCTCAATGAATTGTAGGGATTACTATGATTTGCCTCCTCCTTCTGTTGCAGAATGAACCCATAGACTTGGACTTCTTGAATCCAAAGCCAGCTTCTATTGCCTGCAATTCTGCAGTGAACCCTCTTCTTCTTGCTGTCTGTGGAACATCCGCACCTCTAGCTTCCACATTCACAGCTCCTCAGTCTGTTCCCAGTATCCCTGTCCCTACCTCAGCCCATTTTATATTTTCTTCTGCACCACCGCTGGGCCCCCCTAATGCCATGCCAGTTGCCCCTGGGCATCCTAGTTCTGCAGTGGGAAGCAGAGGTCTGCACAAGATGGATCCGTTGGGACACCTCCTGGATGAGACTAAAGGGTAAGGGGGATTCTTCTTATGCTATTTTCTTGAAAATAATTATAGTTACCTCATTAACCACCACTCCCCCACCACTCAAGTTTTTTTTAAAAAAAGAAGGGAATTGGGGCACTTCCATTAGAACATGCAGCCATTTGGATTATTTGACTAAACTATTTCTTAAAATGAGCTGGTATTTCACAGCTGGCAACTTATTTGGTTTCCCGCATCTCTACGTTACACCTTCCACTGGCAGTGATTGGCTGTGATCACACTGGCGGCTTGGCGCGATATGGTGCCACCTCTAATTGAACCAGGTTAAAGTGTAGTGAGATATATCAGCCACACAGCACACCCTGCTGTGGGTTACCCTCGGAGACATCCTGTGGTAATGCCTCCACATTATTGTGGCACCTCAGCCACGGAGCAAACGGCAAAAAAAATTCCAAACACCACGTGTGTGCGTAGTGCGCATGCTCACTCATGCGCACATAGGCAAGTCTTTTTTAAAAAAGCCTCTGTAGCGGCAGAATGGATCTGCAGGTTCACACTGCCAAATCCATTCTGTGCGCGTTCCCCCGTGTTCAGACATCTGGCCATGTGCAATGAATGTGCGGGGAAACAAAAACATCACTTCAGAGGTGGTAGCTTTTTAACCCGGCTCCAAGTTGTCCTCTGACAGGGTGAGTACGCGTGGGGGAACACCTGACAGATGTGGCTGTGTGATCCTGCCCGTAATCCGTTTGTAAAATGTGCCTATATCGGGCCAAACTGCCAGTCTGAACGCAACCATTGAGTGGCATGGGCTGCAATTTGTCAGTGAGGCAGTGTTAAAGAATCACTGTGCTGTATTACTGAGGAAATCTAGGGAGGTAGAATAGGAATCTGAGGGAACTTCTGCTGCCCCCCGAGTGATTCACACCAACACCTTCACTTCACAAGTTTATTGTTTATTGTCTCTTCCTTAGAAAGGCTTATGGTTTAATGAACAAAGAGAAAGAAGCAGATGCAGGGTGGCACTAGAGAAGTTCTGTTTTATGATTATTCAGTTTTTGAAAGCTGTAGTCCGGGAGCAGCAGCAGGAGGCAGCTGTCCGGGGGAGGAGCCAGGCTCGCCCCCGGGACCCCCACTGGGGCGTGATACCTATGTTCTCTCCATTTCAGGCCTTCATCCCAAGTAAACGCAACAACTTCCATGTTCCATGTAGAGACTGCACTACCTGCTGTGACTTCTTCGCCTCCGATGTCCTCTACAGGATTGCCACTCACTACTCCAGGAGTCCCTACAGTTCCGTATACGAGCAGCTGTGCTACAGGGTCAGGAAGCCCCCTCTTCCAGCCAGCCTTATTCCCGCAAGGAAGTCCTGTGAAAGGACCCGAGATTTCTTTGGCCAACATCCACGTCCCACTGGAGTCCATTAAGCCCAGTAGGCATTTTAGATGATTCTTTATCCCTCCTCAGCTCCCCCTTGATATTTCACATCGAGTCACAATTCTTTAGAGCCTTTTTCATGGGTTTTAGAGACTGAGGGACAAATCCTTCCCTTTTACTACCCAAGCCACTCTACTGCAGCAAGGTTTTTTTGGGAGTGGTGTCAGAACATGGTATTAGAAAACCTGCATGACTGCTTTTCTTCCCCTCCCACACCCTAGTATTGGAGTTCTCCCATTAGGTAAGAAAAATGCTCTTTATCCAGCCCTTGAGATTTCAGGAAAAGGCTTGAAACAGTTGTCCATGTTTGTTAAAGGCTCAAGGGTGGATCTGGGTGACCCTCCCTACACCAGTTCCTAGCACCACTGTGTCTCTCTGTAATTCTGACTTCTGTTTGTCCATTGCAGTGCTCCTGTGTACTGCTGTTTTGCCACTCTTCCCCTTTCTGAAAAGTCACCGTCTCATCATTAGGACTGATTTGGAAATTAAGAAAACGTATGCACATTGGTCTCATTGCCATATATTCCAGGCATTGGCAAAATGTGGCACTTGGACTTCTGTGTAATCATTAAACTCTCCGAGAATATAATCTAGTCCTTAGTAAGGATCTAAGGAGGTAAAGTTAATTTCTCATCAATAGTATGATGGGTATTGGAACATGGAGTGGATTCTTTTGTTTTGCCCCAAAGAGAAGAGTGGCTACCACAGTTACTTTTAGTGGCTCATCAGAACTAGCAGCAGAGATGCAGCTTAGTTACACAGGACAGATGGTGTTCTCTCTAGCGAAGCTCCCAGCACTCCCAGAGTAACCTCAGTGTACTGTTCCTTCCCCTAGCTTTAAATATATTCTTGCAACATGTAAATGCATTCTTCTCCTTTTAGGCAGTGCTCTTCCTGTGACTGCTTATGACAAGAATGGTTTGCGTATCCTTCTGCACTTTGCCAAGGAGTGTCCACATGGGCGGCCTGATGTGCTGGTAGTGGTGGTGTCAATGTTAAATACAGCACCCCTTCCTATCAAAAACATTGTGCTACAAGCTGCAGTGCCAAAGGTAGGGGCACCAAAATAGTAATCACCAGCTATTGCTACATCAAGAAACCAGAGCCCTCTTATTGCTGGAGAAAAGTGAGAAATGAGCTTCCCATTCTGGGAGTCATGCTGGCGCATGCCAGTTATTTTCCAGCAGCTTCTAATGAAAAGCAGGAAACCTTCCCTGGCACCACTTTGCATGACAATGGCTTGGATCCACCAGAACATTTGCATGTTCTTGGGGGAGGAAACACATTTTGGGCTACAGTGTAAAGGAAGTAAATAAATCACACTCTGTTGGGTATAAATCCTTCCACTCACAAAAAAAGCCCCAGTGGATTCAAGCCAGTAGTTACACACTAACAACAGCAGGCTTTAACTCAAAACACACAAGGGTGAAATTAAATTCCAATGAATTATTGGGACTTCCTGTAATGAATTTATAATCAAAATACCAGGGCCTTTTCAGTGGCGGCTCCTACCTGGTGGAACGAACTCCCGGAGGAGATCAGGGTCCCGCGGGACCTCTCACAGTTCCGCAGGGCCTGTAAGACAGAGCTCTTCCGCCAGGCTTTCAATTAGGAGCTGCCACTACCACCAACAACAACTATTTCATGGTAACGGGATGGCCCATTATAAAGATTGAGCCACAGTATCGCGGTGGATCGGTACTGCTGAATTGGGTTTTTGGGTAGCACCTATAGGTCCCTATCTTGATTCGATCGAATGATCAACATCACTGAGCACTTTATTTTTGTCAAACATAGTTGTTTTATTCTGTTTTTAATGTTTTATATTTGGCACATGGTGCCCTTGATTGTGAGCTGCCCTGAGCCTGTCCACAGGGAGGGCAGGATAGAAATTTAATAATAAATAAAATAAAAACTCCCTAGCCCCATTGCCTGATATTTATTTTTATGATTTGATCACTGCTTATTAAGTGTATGGTGCTCACCCAAATATTCAGTCACAAAAACAATTACCACCTAAGGATTTGTCCTTTGGTTTTTACCTGCAGTCCATGAAAGTGAAGCTGCAGCCACCTTCGGGGACAGAGCTAGCTCCATTCAATCCCATCCAGGCACCCGCTGCTGTTACCCAGGTCATGCTGCTTGCAAATCCTAGAAAGGTGAGAGGGGCTCTGGTTTACAGTCAAAAATGTCTCCACCCTTCCTGCTAGGATGGATTATTCCATCACATTTGTTCAAACTGGACTTTTGGGGTTCTCCAGAGAGAATGTATGTGTTCTTCCCTCACCCCTCGATGGTTTGGGCAAAGAGAAAACATGCACTTGGTCTGTAGAGCCTCAACAATTCAGTCTGAGAGATGATCCAGCGGCACAGATACCCTTTGTTCTGACTGGTTCCATGTTTTCAAACAGCATATCCTCAAGTTACTGGATATACATTGGGGCCAAACAGTGGATGGCATTCTTTGTGCTCTTTATGTGAGCTTCCAGGGGAATCTGAGTAGCTGTGATTGGAAGCAAAGGGTTGGATCCAACCAGCTTTTCCTCTGCCGAAACAAAAGGAGGGGGTCCTCTTTGACCACCCAAAAAGGTTACGCTAAGGATCATGGGACCTGCCTGGATAAGAGCCATGTGGGATTGGGAGGGGTGTAAAAAGGAAAATTGGAAGAGATTGAGTGAAAAAGTCAGCTGGATCCAACCCAAGATCTCATTTCAAGATGGACCTTAATAGTGAATCAGTCACCTTAAGTCACTTCTGGATCTGCTTAGAATATCTTTGTGACTCTCAGAAATTGAAAGACTGGCACACATATGTGGCACTGGGGGCAGTCAGATAGCCCTGCCTACAATGTAGTGGAGTCTGCAGTGGGTAGAGATGTAAAATTTCCCAAAGTTTTGAATCCATTGCGGGGGGGGGGGGGGGGGAAAGGGGGGGAGAAACCTGGGGAAATGGCAATATATCAAACTGAAACCCATTTTCCTGCTTTAACAATGTAAAATTATTATTATTAAAAATTCATTAGTTACAGCTTAGCATATACAACTGTATTATTTGGCACATTTATGGAATTTCAAAGTATAAATATCTGGTAGTGCTATCCTAAGAATATATTCCTTGGAGTAAGCCCTACTGAATAAAATGGGACAATTCCAAGTAGACATGGTTAGTATTGATCTGTTAGTTTTCTACAAGCAAAACTGCAAATATATCTACCATTAAAGTGCAAACTACTGTACCCTATACTATTTGTTTTCACTCATTCCCGGTGCTCCCCCAAATTTACCTCCACAGGAAAGTTTCTTGGGGGGAAATTCCACCCTGCCATTTTCCCCCCTAGGCCTTCACATTACTAGCCTCCAATTCTTATATAATATAAAATATCCAGTGGTTGCATTTCTTCTACAGGCTGTGTTATATTCCATGTTGATACTTTGCACTCTTGCATAAACACAGACTTTCTATATTGTTCTTTCTCCAAGACACTGAGATCCCATTGTTAGTAATTATTTCTTAAAACCATACTTTAAAAGTCTCTGCTAGAGCTACGATTGATTTTAATCTTGGGACCTGGAGTGGATCATTCAGAGCTACTGAGACATGCATTACAAAACATGCCATCAAATTCGTGCAGTGTTCATTTGTTTTTCTACTGTTCTTAACTGCTGTGTCATTTTGTTTTTCTTCTTTCTTCTAGGAGAAGGTGAGGCTGAGATACCGGCTGACCTTTGTTTTGGGAGACCAGCCCACCACAGAAGTGGGGGAAGTAGATCAATTCCCCCCAGCTGAGCAGTGGGGGAACCTATGACCAAATGGTATCCCAAAGGGGTTGGAATGAATGTGAAGTAGAAGGGGTATATGAGGTACCCAGCAGTGATATTTAACTTTGTTCACATGTCCTATCCACTCCACCTGTAGCTTTAGTCCAGAATGTTTCCTGCACTCTGGGGTGAAGTGGTCTGGGGCATTAATGCCAAGCATGAACTTGTGTAGCAATGAGGAACAGAGGCTTGGCAGGCACTTCTTCTTGGCCAATCCAGTCCTATCTTCCATTTTGTTAAACTTGAAAATGGTAATTCTGGAGAACTTTTAAGTAGAAAGGGAGATGATTGATGGTCTCTCTCTTAATATTGGACAGATACCTACAAAGGGCTATGATGCCTTCGTAAGCTCCTTTGGGGCAGAGCCCTAAGAGATGTTCCTATGCTCCATTTTTTTACCTCCTTGGTGCCAGAACTAGGACAACCTGTAGGCTTGCTGAGCAATAACACAGGATCCAAAAGAGGAGGTTTCTGCCATGTCCTGACACTCCATTTTCTTTCTTAGGCAACATCTATCTTAAAAGCCAGCACAAACCATACAGGTGAAAAACAGCCGTGTAGTTTACACTTGTGCCACACATGAACGTAACACACAGCTTGGAATCTGCTACCTTTGATTTTATACTTCCAATGGCAATGTGTGCTTTCCAGGCAGCTGTTAAGTTTTGTATGCATAAGTATGGTATTTTCCTCTCTGCATTCAGAAACAGCATTGCATTCTTGCGAGGTAAAACCGATAGGAGTAACAAAGGCAGAACTTCCTCACTGTTCAAGAAGAGAGCATGGAGATAAATTAATACTGAGAAAGGGAATCCCATTTAAACCAGCTCTTAGTCAAGGTCAGAAGTGGTAAAATGAAGGTCTTGACTATTCTCCTGAAGGCAGTATTATTAGTTAGGAACATATGTACATAATAAAAGCAAAAGGAAAGCATTGGGGAGCCTGCAGCTAAGGGAAAAGTGAAGCCATGACCATGCATGTGCTGGACTGATTGTGCTCTTTTTATTCATTCCAAGTGGTTAAGTGCAATTGTCTCCAGAGGGAGAGATGCCAGAGATGTTCAGATCTCTCTGAACATGAATTATATTTGTAAGCTGGCACAAAACTGCATAAGTGATGTCGCTGCTTTGGATGTAGTAGTCACTTCTGTCACAATACAATTTTAATATAAATATACTCTCTTTGAGTATCTTTGAGCAGATTGCCTATATCTACATAGGCAATCTGCTATCTCTTCCTGCCCTAAATTAACAATTTTATTCTACTGTGCATAGGAGGCTGTGTGGAAATAAAGTCTGCAATTGGTTAAGAGTAATTCAAGGTGAAATACATTAATTGAAATGTATACTGTCAGAAATCACGACAAAATGGTTACATGTCTCTTGAAATAGCATGTGTAGGCAACGGGGTTAAATATTTTAGACACACAACAAGTCAGTATAATATGAGAAGTTCCAGTGGCAGTTGGGAGGGGCCAGAACGATCCACAAAGAGGATGTGTGACTGAGAGGACCAAATAGGAACGGCAAACGGCAGCAAAATTAACTGATGAGGAAAGGGTGGCATTTTATTCTGCCTCTTGACCTGACCCTCCATGGTATTTTAGTCTCCCTGCCACCAGGTTTTTGCTTAGGCTGTTAAGGTTTGCCAGGTGCCATAGGCTATCTATAGAGAACAGGTTTCACTGCAAGTGACTCAAGGAAACCGGGGGGGGGGGGGGAGAGCAGATATGCTCTCTACCAAATGGCTTCCTTAGTGTCAGCAGTGCTGCAGCGTCCATACTGCGTAATCCAGCAGAAAGAACCCATAGTCTCACTGTGTGAAAGTGTACTGTTACAAGATTCCGAAATTATTTATGAATGTTACTTGTTCAAAGGCTGAAGTTGCAGCTTTCTACCAACACAAGACTGTACATATGTCTCCAAAGCATTTGTTTTTCTTTTCTGCACGTTCAATAAAATAGCTTTCGTTAATCTGCTTCAGGTGCCTGTCAGCCATTTGGTACTGGAGGGTGTTTATCTTCTACATCGTAAGACTCCAGTTTTTCTTAACAGTGGCTCTATATAAAGACTGTTCCATTAGCTGTGTTATAGCGGTACAAAATGGAAATGTCCAGATGAAGGGTCACATTATTTTTTTTTCATGTGCTAGTGGCAGGGTACCTTGCATGAAAATTTAATAGATTCTTTTAAACTCTTAGGGATACAGCTGTTCACAGACCGATTGTTTCTCATCAATCTATATGGAGCAAAGAGAGATGTTTCCAAGTAGTACAGCTGCCCCATGGGGTGGATGACTTTTTATGTATTACTCCTATTATTTTAAAAAATTGTTTCCTTTGGCCTTGGTCAGAAGTGTCCTCTTACATATAAAAAGGCCATCTTCTGCAGTCCTATACCCACATGCCTCAAAGTACTGATGACTTACCACAAGTCATTGTAAATGCCAAAGCTCTAGGGCAGCAGAAACTAAATTTCTGTTAAGTGCAATAGCAAGGAAGATAACTGCTTCTTCAAAAGGCAAGCCACTACATAGCAAAAGAAAATTTACAAGGGGTAAACAAAAAAATGACATTTATTCCTAGAAAAACAGCCATATGTACATTGAACCAGTGAAGCAAAGTTTGTGAGTTACTCCACTAAGCTATTCTTCTAGTGTGCCTTCTTTTACAATGGCTCGCGCAAGATTCCGTGCCAGAGCAAGCCTCAGCATTTCCACCTTGATTGTCTCAGTGTCATCATCATCCTAGAAACAAAAATACTTTTATTTCATCAAAAACCTTCACAGACTGTGTGTTCCTTTCTTTCTCTGGCTTTCTAGGAGCATCAGACTATTCTCTCAGTAAGAGAAATATATATGAAGCGGCCAGTCAGTTACAAATTTCCTACATATTTTCTGTCTGCTTCATGTCAGCAGATTCCTAGGTAATTTGATACATTTGTTGAGGAGTCTTCTTAAATTCTCTGAATGTCAGTCTTACATCTATGTAAATCTCTCTCATATTTAGATAGTCTATATAAGTTTTCTAGCAATTCATATCAAAGGCTCAAATTAAGTTTCTGAAGCCCTTTTATCGGTCAGTTAGAACAGCATGGATTTCAAGCAAGACCATACATGAACTAAATTCATGTTTGAGACTGATTTCAGAATGAGAATCTGGAATAATTGCAACTGGTCAGTGTGACTACCACCAGTGCAAACAGTCATGTTTGTAACCTATGCAGTCTAAACTGCTGTTATTTAAAAAAAGATGTGCATGTTACAAAAGAGCCTCTAGACACAACGGACTTCCAAGAAAAAGACAGCTTCCAGTTATTCTGCATTTAACACTTGGAAGCCTCTTCATTTAAATTTCTACCCTGCTGTTCTTCTACAGGGACCTGATGCAGCTTACCATAAAGTTAAAACAAATAGTTAAAAACAGACAACCTATACAGACAGACAGACCAACTTCCTTCCAATCTCAAACAAACTTCATTTAGGACCCAACCATCCATAGAACCCCCCCCCCCCTTAAGTTCAGCCTTGCACAATTTCTGAAAATGTAACAGCATGGATAGGGAAGGTGGGATGGTATAGCCCGATCTTGTCAGACCTTGGAAGCTAAGCAGGCTCAGTACCTGGATGGGAACTAGGGGTGTGCATTTGGATCTACCTAAGCCGAAAATATACCTTAGTGGTAGTTTTCAGGTATACTTTGGCTTCCCAAATGTATCTGGGTTTTCTCAGGAAAACCGGGGGGGGGGGGGGCCCCAAAAAAGATACTGGATATATTCGGGAATTACCGGTAGATTTGAAAACAGCAAGAAGCAGGAGCAGATTGCTCTCAGCTATTTTTCCAGCTTCTGCAGTCCCTTTAAAGTTTAAAGAGGCTGCGGAAGACAGCCCCCTGCTGGCTCAGCTTGGGGCTGGCTGGCTTCTCCTATTGCCTGGTTTAAACTAGACTGCAAGACAAGTCAGCCCAGGATCAGCCTCGGTGGTGGGAGCTGAGGGCTCCACGCCGTCTCAGCTGGGGCTGGCTCCTCGGTTTAAACCGAGCTGCAAGAGAAGTCAGCTGTGCCTGCGGGGAGCAGACTGTTCCCTGTGGGCACAGCTCCTGGAGTGCAGTGTCGTTTTTTTCTTCTTGAGTCTATTGTACTCCCCAAATAATCAGGATTTCCAGAAAATCTGGGGTTTTTTGAGAAGCCCCAAATTTTCATTTCAATATACCCAAACCAAAAAAATGCGGGGGGAGTTGCACACTCCTAATGGGAACCCACCAAGAACACTCTGCAAAGGAAGGCAATGGCAAACCACCTCGCCAACATTTTTCTGGTGCCCACCAAGTATCTTCTAGAAAGTGGGTGGGGCCAAGTGGGACTTCTGTTTGGCCGCTAGAGATTTGATTGGCATTGCAGATTTTTAAAAACGTTATTTGGCTGCAGCTGCGACTACAGCACAAAGATCTTCACTGCATGACTGCAAGTAAACTGGGACAGCCATTTTGTGGCTGTGCCCACAGGCTCAAAAAGGTTGGGGACCCCTGTACTACTGAAAAGGAATGGGCTCTTGTAGATGCCAAGTGAGTACCCTTAAGCAGGGGGAAAGGGCCAGCCAGGTTATAGCTAGAAGAACATCATTGGTGCACAGAGACATATGGGGAGAGGTGGATGTGGTTCCTATGCAATAAAAGGCTTTAAAGTTCATAACCAGCACCCTGAACTGAACTCGGAAACAAACTGACAATGTAGCTCTCTTTAATTGGCAAGATGTGTTCTCATCACCTAACCAATGGCAATAATCAGGCTGCTGCATTCTGAACCAGTTGCAGTTGCTGCCGTAAGGTTACAAAAGCATGGATTAGTGGGGCTAGCTGAGCCTAAGAAAGGGGAGACCAGATGCAGATGACGGTGGGTCTCAGACTAAGAAGGGCTTTAATAGGAAGCACATTTTACATGTACACACAATACTAAGAAAATGATCCAGTCACATTTATGAATTCAGTCTCTGTGATCTCATCAGAAACGTTAAGCAAATCAAAGGGACATAAAAGTACCTGACTTTGGTTGAGGTGTGCCTTAAGTATCCTCCCTATATTATAAAGCAGTAAGACGCAAACTGCACGCAATGCGCCCCTACAGTGTTTGGACGGCTCGCCTGCCCGTCAACAGCTTGGCCATGTCCCATTGGCCACGTCGTTTGAGTCCCGCCGTGCACGCAGCTTCCCGTGGCCTGCGGAGGATTCGGAGGAGAGCCGAGACGCGCCAGTGCCTGGGGACGACGAGCCGCAGGCTCACACCCGCAGCCGCCTGGGTTGGTGAGGAGAGGGGGAGGGGGCGAGAGCTGAGCAGAGGAGATGCACGAGTTGAACCGCAGCCGCCTGGGTCGAGCCCGAGAGGGGAAGGGGGCGAGAGCCGGGCGGAGGAGAGGCGCGAGTCGATCGACAGCCGACTGGGTCGGGCCTGAGAGGGGAAGGGGGCGAGAGCCGGGCGGAGGAGAGGCGCGAGTCGACCGGCAGCCGCCAGGGTCGGCCCAGACAGGGGAAGGGGCCGAGAGCCGGCCGGAGGAGACCCGACAGGTCCGAGTGGCTGGGGACGATGCCACCTCGGTCACGGCTGAGAGGGGCAGGGCGCGAGGAGGGGGGGCTAGCCGCCCATTGTATAGCCCTTCGCAACGGGCCTTGCTCCCTAGTTAAAAATAAAAGGCATCAGGGAGCCCTAAGCTGACATTGTTCAGCAGTCTGCCTTGAACAGGATTACCTGGAGTGTTTTGTTTTTTGATTTTGTAGCCATCACATCTTCCAAGCATCGCATTAATTCATATGTCTGATCAGCAGAGAATATCACCTGGAGAAAAATGGTGGCATTATTAATACAATTGCCATTTCTCCAATATTTATTTCTTCAAAAGTGGAATTCTATACCTTGACTCTGTGGCAAAACAGCCCTTTAAGCATGACTCATCTCTGCTAAAGAGAATACCTGCAGCTGCTATATACATTGCATGCATCATTTGGGGTTCTGTGAGATAGAGGCTTTTAGGAAACAGTATAGTATCAAATATGCAGAGCTTAGGATCATCTTGCAGCTTTCTAATGGCAGCTCTATACAATGGGTTTCAGCCAAATAAAGTTGCATTTTGTAGCTGACCATTTACACTTCGCCCTCAGTTAATTTAGAAAAGGATTCAGACTCACCCAGCTTTGCTGAACCCGTAACATATGCTTATTGAGAACTTACACTAGGAGGGAACAAATCCTTGGAGAAACTGAATGTCTACAGAAACTTAAAAATTACAGCAAGCATAACAGTTAGCTGAACACATCTGCAGTAACACTAAGCTCTTATAGTAGCAAGTCTTTAAAAAGCAGGAAGAAATTGCATGTACATGTGGGGTGTGGAATCAAACTGCTTAAGGAGACAGTGCTGTAGTAATGTGGAACTTAACTGCCTGCACATTGGTTGGGCAAATGTCTGCTCAAATCACAACAAAGACAAGGAGATTGTGCCCTAGAACACTCATGGAGCCAAATAAAGGAGGTGACCCTTGACGTGAGCAGGATCTGGTGCAGAAGGTTAAAGTGGCTGAATCACTAGATGACAGCAACCATAGGGCTATCAAACTCAACATACACATGAGCATTACATTTCCTGGAAAAATCAAACACAGCCACATTTAACTTAAAAGAGGTAATTTCTCAAAGATGAGGTGATTAGCTAAAAGGAAGTCTGGGTG